ATGGGAGTAAAAATAAAAACTAAGATGCATCATGTTCTGGTACAAACACCCAATAATAAATGTAAATGTATTTTATACCTAAAATGTACCAATAATATATATATATATTTTAAAAATAATAAAACAAACAAACAAAAAAACCCTTGAGTGTTTGTGAACACAGCACAAATTCATGTTTGACTTCAGATATGCCAATCAAATCTTATAACAGATTAACTTACTAAACTTGGAAATTTTTAGTGATTTATCTCTTATGAAAGTTTTCTTAAATATTAAGGTTTGCCCTTTACTAGTTAGTATCATTTGTTGCTTAAATCATTAGGAAGGACAAAACAATGTTTAGGAAGGAACACATTTCTTAACCTAGGTACCACAGAGACTTTAAATTTACCATCACAAAAAAATCACATTTCACAGGCAGCTGCTACCTGCTGATGAGGGATCCTGCATGTGATGTGTCAGAAGCACAGGGCAGCCTTTTGAACAGGAGGAAAACTCTGTCACCCTGTGGCTCCTCAGGACACTCTGGGCATCTGTGACCTCCATGTGCTTAGGTGTAAATAATTCCAAGCCAGCACACAGGGGTGAAATAGGACAGCAAGGAGATCTCAAATACTTGGAAGCTCTTCCCAATACCACTCACTGATGTTATTTAAAATTGTACCAAGAATCAGAACTTTGGCAGAGACTTTGTATGTTTTTTCTAGGTGTCTATATTTCTCTTGGTTACATATTAATTCATAAAGTGAAGCAATTGTCATGTAAAATTAATAGCTACATTCTGTACAATCACATAGCAGCACACAAAATCTCAGCCACCAGTTTCTGTGGTGATCATATCCCCTTAAGTGCTTTCAGCATTCAAATAAATAAAAATACAGAATTTAACAAGTGAATCTCAAAATTTAGGACCAATGCCATAGAGTAATTCTTTATGTGAAGGCAAAAGGATTGAATATTCTCATTCTCTCTAAATCTAGTAAGTAAAACTCAATGTCACGTTTTGGAAGGGTAACTTTTACCCTTGTTAAATTTTCACAAAAACATAATACCTTTGGAAAGACATGAGAATTGACTTTTATCATTTGATTTAGAACAGTTTTATGAATTATGAATTATAAATATGTCTTAGAACTAAGAAGGTAGAAATGCAGTAATTGTATTGCATGTTTACCTTTCACAGAGAAAGTCAAAATATTATGTGGAAAAGAGTAAATACTTGTTAAATAGTGACCAAGAAGTAGATCGGAGGGCAAGTCAGTGTGTCATAATCAATTTTACTGAAATATTCTACGGATTAACATTAATGTGTCTCAAATAACTCAATGTGCAGCTCCCCAGAGCTCCAAAGCTTAATACCAACTGCCATCCTCAGGCTTCCTTGTTAGGCCAACGATCTGTGGTAGACAAGTAAACAGAGGAACAGTTTTGCATGAGCCACACTTTTTCTCATCTGTACATAGGCTTTGTGGTCTATGCACTCAAGGAAGCTCATTTCCTGTTTAGGGTGGCAGCATAAAAACCCAGCATGTCCTTATCTACATGGCCAGGCATTCAGAGAAGAACACACTGCAGAGAAATACAGACCACATGCTGCTCCCCAGCCTTCTGTGGGTGTCGGTGACCTTCATCTACTCTGGTATGGGTGGTCCAAACACAGCCAAGAATGTAAAGGATAAAAGGACAGCACACTGGACTATGCTGCTTTACCTGGGCCACAGGAAAGAGGGATGGGAGAAAAGAAACCAACTCTGAATTTAGTATGGTTTAACTTAAGATCCTAAATTAGCCTAATTCTTATGATATTTTATTCACTACATGAGAGGATCAGCCCTCTTTTCTGATTGTTTCTACAGGATCCAGTGTGGCCCAGAAAGTGACTCAAGTTCAGTCAGCCATATCAAGGCCAGAGAGGGAAGCAGTCACCATGGATTGTTCCTATGAGACAACTTTCAGTGCGTACTATATTTTTTGGTATAAGCAACTTCCCAAGGGAGACATGATTTTCCTTATTCGTCAGCATTCTTCTGATCTGAGTGCAAAGAGTGGTCGCTGTTCTCTCAACTTCCAGAAAGTAGCTAAGGCCATCAGCCTCACCATCTCAGACTTAGAGATGGGAGATACAGCGAAGTACTTCTGTGCTTTTAGGGAACACAGTGTTTGAAATGTTAGTAAGAGCTGAACAAAAACTGAGGAGCTTCATAAGAGATGGGCCCTGCTCCAGGAGCCCAGCTGAGATTCACACCTGCAGATCCTACATGAGAAGAGAGCACTGCAGTTGCCTCATCTGTGGTCTGGATCAGAAGATTAAATTCCAAGTAAGACCTGCTTCTGTCTCATTTGGAAACTGGTGCAATGTCTTCTCTTTTTTTTTTCTCCATGTTGAGGTGAATAGCCCATCTGTTATTTTTTATTTTATGAAAAATAAAACAGAATTTCATTAATTTATTTATATTCAAACACAAATAAGAGAATAACAGTAATTAGTACAGTGTATCAGTGTTTCTTCTTGAATTTTTGATCCTAAAGTAGATCATACAAAATGTGTATGAAAGTCCTCTGATTTAAAATTGCCCCGTAATAATTAATGTGTCACTTTCACTTGAAGGTGCTCACAGCCCAGTTCTAAGTATAGTTATTTCGAATAGATGTGAATGTCTTCTGCTTAGCCATTTTCACTTAGGCTTGGTGTTGGTTAGGTACAATCAAAGAAGGAGAACCACCAAGGCTGATGTAGAATAAGAGAACAATTATAAGGATTAGACCTCAGGAACGTGTTGGAGCTTGTGGAGGAGTCTCTGCAAAGCCATTGTCTTTCCATCTGATATTGAGCCTGTATTGGTGGAAATTCCACTAGACAAAGATCTGGCAAGGGAAGCTGGGTGAGGACAAGCATGTGGATGAACTGTGACTTGTGAAGACATAGTGGGACCCATGAGAACAAATGGAACCTATAAGAACAAACTAAAACATGTCTGTCCTTCAACTCCTTCTATATTAGTTGGTAGATGACCTTCAAAAGAAGCAATGTCATTTGCCAACATGCTACATACACACTTGGCCCAAGCCAAAGAAAAGCTGAATTGGACAGGGATTTAATTTAGTGGTTTCGCCGCCTGCCTCACAAGCGCAAGGTCCCGAGTTCAATCCCTGGTACCAAAAAAAGAAAAAAAAGAGAGAGAGAGAGATGCTGAATTAGGAGATGTGGTGGGAGGAGGAGCTGTGTCAGCAGGAATATTAGCTGGCAGGTGAGCCAAAATATGTGGGCAGTGTCCCAGGGCCTGGAAATCTGAGTGTGCAAAGCATATAAGAAGTGGCTTCTCTGTCACACTGACTTCCCAATTCTTGTACCTTTTCTTTTGTGGCAGAACAACACAGGAAATCAAATTCTGGGAAATATATTCTCAGAGTTGAGACAGTACAAAGCTACCCCAGTGCCCCCTTCCCAAACTTGACATATCCACCTCCTTTAACAACACTTAAAAGTTAAAAAGAAACAATAGAACAATCATACTTCCTACTAATGTGACACAACTATTTCCCACTCTATCAAAAAGATGAAAACCCAGTCCCCCAAAGAGCATGCAGTTTTTTTAAGGCATCCAGGGGTGGTGGTCATCCCTTTTCTAGGTGAGGTACACTCTCTCATTGATATCCTGTAGTTTAAGTAGAGTACTAAGATACAATGAAATACAAGATTCTCTCTCCTTAGCACATCTTATGCTATGACATGCAGATAAAAGCGAGAATAAACCATTGTTACTATATACATAAACTTATTCATATTAAAATGAAATGCAAATTCCATGACTATTAGTGTTCTTGTTTGCACAAATGGTCTCCAAAATTGTAGCTGGTTTTTGTAAATAACTGTTCCATCATCTCTTTGCTCATAACAAACACCCAACTAATTGATGTATCTGACATTTTATAAAACAAGTTCCTCAGTCAGGAACAATGCTGTATAGAATAACATGAGTCTGAATAAGTAACTCTGTCAGCCCTCCACACTTTTTTCCAGGAAAGTTACAAGGAGGCTACTGAAAGTTAAGTTCATATTTGAGTATTGTAAGTGAAGAAAAACAACAATAAAATTTTTGCAACATCCAGAGAAAATTCATGCACTGTGTTCTGAGAAACAACATTAAGGATTATGCCTGACTTCTCATGAGGAGCAATAGGGATCCACAAGGAAAAAAGCATTTGTAAAGTGTGTGACAAAAAATAAACTCTTAAATTATCTTTCTATGAACATGAAATATATGTTAAATTGGACTTATGAAAAACTCTCACATAAGCCATGAACATTGATGCATGCCTATAGTTTCAGCTACTCTCAAATTTTCAGCACTTGGAAATTGAGGCTGAAGAATTGCAACTTCAAAGTCAGCATAGGAAATTTATCCAGACTCTTTCTCATAAAAAAGGAAAGACACACATACATATTCTCCTCTCTCTCTCTCTCTCTCTCTCCCTCCCTCCATCCCTCCCTCCCTCTCTCTGACATGGCAAACCCATTCAGAGACTGGAAAACTATATTTGTAATATGTGTTTCTTTTCTTCATTATTATCATTTTAAGCTATGTAGCTTCACTGTATTATTCAAGATGTCCTAAAGTTCCTGAGGTCAAGGAATCCTCCTGCCTCAGTTTCCCAAGTAGCTGGGGGTACAGCCATGCATAAAGACATATGACTGTGCAGAGCATTATTTCTGAAAAAAGACTCAAATGCAGAATATAGCAAACATTCACAAAATCAATAAGAAACCATCAGTCAAAATGATGAAAACTTAGCTGCTCCTGATATATGAGAATAGCAAATGAGCATAGAAAAAAAGACTTAATATTGTTACACCTTAGGGAAATGAAATTAGAAACACCATGTACATGTTCCATCTGTATTTTTTTTAGCACCATGAGTGAGATAATGCACTCAAGAAGAAATGATCACAAAAGGATAGGAAAAATTAATGGTCACCTCCAGGAAAATGGATAACTAAGTTTTCTAAAAGCTCCCTCTTCTAAAAGTTGTGGAGAGAAGAAAACCCAGGAATGAGCCACAGACCTAAACACTGAAGGAAAACTTTTACCAAGAAAATGAAAGTTGATATTGAGCTTGCTACATATGAGACACAGTGTTACACAGTTTTTCAGAATCATTATTTAATTTAAATATCAAGTTTTTATAATACAGATTTTATTGTTCCTATTTTTAATGCTTGGAAAGTGAGACATAACTTTTTATAATTTTGAAGAGCATCTCTGTCTTTATTGTTGGCCAGGGTGCAACATTTGAGAAGTTTCTAGGGATCAGAGTTTTGTCTATGGAAAAAAAATGGACAGGGAGCAAGTGATTGACATCCCAGGGATGGTGACACTACTGGGTTAAGCTGGATCCCAAAAGGAAGAGAAAAAGATGCCAAACCTAAGTACAAATTGCCTATTGATCAACAGATTAAAATCAACTAAGCAGTTATCAGTGAAAACCACTTCAGTAATATGATACTAATCCCTTAAGTCTGTCCTATAGCAGTGTGCTGGGAAGTATAAGGGGCTGGAGGAGAAGATATCCCTGAAGCACAGCATAATTATATTAGGACCTTTGCTCTCAATTTGCCCTCTCTGCCTGTAATACTTTCCCCCAATATTTGTGTGGTTTGCCTCTGTTCTTTATGTCTTTACATATCAACATCTTATGAAACCTGTGCCTAAATTTATTTTCTTTCCTTGAGAATCAGGCTGCAGCATATTCTGTGTCCAGAATTTCAGCAAGTCTTGGCTGAAATGCTGCCCCCTGCTGTCCTGCTAAAATATTTTTCGACATTCAGGCTGATCTTGCTTCCCTCTAGAGGTCATGAGTTAAATTGTGGCTAAGCCTAAATGTGATAGGAGATGCCATTGCTGAACCAAGGTCAGTGAATTTACCAGAGCAGTAATGGCACAAGACAGGATTCAGGAGTAAGGATTTAGGAGTATGGCTGGTTGTTGATCTATTGCTCTGCCAGATGTGAAGGTAACTGACTTTGAAATGAAAAATAAAAGACATAAGTATTCCTTGGAAATACACAAAGTATTCCTTGGAAATAAAGGTTGGTATTGTTGTACGAGTTGCGGGGGGCGGTAATCTGCTAAGTGAATTTCTGTTTAATTTTCTCCCTTTTGGTCTATTACAGAAATATCTTGAGAAGGAAGAGCAAGACTTACTGGAACATGAAACATGTTCCATGGGAACACGCTAAACTCTTTCCATGTTCTACTGCAATTCCAATCTCCACTATATATTCAGAAGGAACTGTTTTCATTAATAGTAAGAAAAATGATAGACCACATGTATCTATGATAATACATGAAATTTGCTGTATAATTGTAATGTACACCTCGGAGAATATTGTGTGCCTTATCTTGTAGATAAACTACACTATAATTTCAGATTGTGTTTCTCAATCCTGTAATATTTTATACATCAAGTGGATTTGACTGAGTGCCTGACACAGGAGTAATTCTCCTAGATCATTTGGATAAGTGTTCTCATTTTTTATTGGAGTTCTTCAAGTTGATACCATTTTTATTGAGGGAGGTTGTACAACAAAGTTCTTGATACTATAAACTGGAGATGAAGTTTTAGACCTATCACTCATTAACTGAATATTGTTGGGTAGATAACTTTATAATTTTTACACTTGGTTTCTTCATTCTTTTATGTTGATATTAATAATATCTACCATAGATAGTGATTATTACATGAAGTAAATGATATGGTAAATGCCAATGCCAAGATCATTGCCAACACAGTGATAAGTTCCTTAAAGAAAAGGAAATTGAATTTGTATACAGTTAAATATCTTGCCCAGTGTCATAACGTAAGCATTACAGTACAGTCTTTCATACCCTACTAGAGAAAGAAAGTCTAATATCAGAAAACTACAAGTTTTGTCTTACTGAATGAAATCTATGTGCTAGTCTGATGTACTAATGGATTTTTCATAATTCATTTAGTAAAATTCCCACAAGAAGAAGAGTTTGAATTACTAAAAACAATTCGAGTAATTTTTTTTTTTATTCTAAAAGACATTTTAGGGACAGAAAAATTTAAACTCCAGAAAACAGAAGGAAATAGTATTTGTTCATTCATATCTTAAGAAAAGTATTGAAATTTGTGATACAT